CCTGTGTTTTTTTATTTTGAAGAATTTTTTTTTTTTTTTTTTTTTTTTTTTTTTTTTACAAAAGAAGTCAACTCTGGAAAGTTGAAATAGCTAGGCAAACTCAAAGTGAATCAACTACCAGGAACAACTCCACTAGAGAGAATGTTTTAAGAACCAAGTGGATTGCAAGGGTCTCAGAGAAAACTGAAGGAGCAATGAGAGAGGCAGGGCAGGTACTTGGGACAGAAACTGCTGGAGGAGAGACCAAAGCAAAGATGACTCCCTGCACGCACCTGCGCCAGCGAGGACCCACTGTCCCTGCTCCCTGCATGCTGCCCTATAGGGAGAGGCTTGCGTTCTGCATCCCACACCAGGCGCCCCTGTATTGTGGTTACCTTGGCATCAGATATAGCTGTGCCCGAGGTAGCCTAGGGTTCCTGCAAATAGCAAGATGGTGAAGCAAATACACAAGTGATGTCGGGAAGAAGTGAATGAACTTGGCAATGGTATTAGGGATTTTCCTTTCCTTTTTTTTTTTTTTTGGAGAGGTTTTTGCTATAGAAAGACAGACAGAAAGCGAGAAATCACCCCCCAGGGGGGATGGCCACACCGCAATCCCTTCTCCTCCATTCTCCTCTCGGGATCTTGGGCACGCATGTACATGCACCTGGTGTGAGTTTAAGCCGCCGGGTCCGGAACTCGAACCACGTGTCGACTACATGGGAGTCCAGCGACAAAGCCATTACGCTAACTGCTGGTTCCAAGTATTAGGAATTTTCTACAGAACAATTTTATCTGTAAGAAGGGGAAAAGGAGAAGTAAATCTATAATTGCAGGTAGATATGTTTAGAAACCTTCAAAATGTCTATGTGCCTCACAAGTTCTACGATTTCTGTGCAGGAAGCCATGAGAAGCTTCCATTACATACAGTAACGAGTGCTCCTGCACATGCCCCTGCAGACTTTTAAATTGCACAAATATTTGTATCTCCACCCTTTCATTTTATATGGATGTGTGCTTTTTTTCCAGGACATCTTAGATGAGTACTGATATTAGTCACATCTCAGTGAGTTTCGTGGGTATGAGGGGGAAGGATCATTTTTAAAATTAAGGCGTAAGATGCATTTTATTCTAAGTTGACACACGCAGCCTAACAGACTTTGTCCTGGGATAGGAACATTCAAAGTGGGTCGTTCTCCCTCAGGTGACTATCTGGACATCCTTGCCATCTCCTGCGACAGCTTCGATGAGGAAGTCAATGTCCTTATCGGCCGTGGCCAGGGAAAGAAGAACCACGTGGAAAATCTCCAGAAGCTGAGGACGTGGTGTAGGGATTACAGAGTGGCCTTCAAGATAAATTCTGTCATTAATCGATTCAACGTGGAGGAGGACATGAACGAGCAGATCAGAGCGCTCAACCCTGTCCGCTGGAAGGTGAGTGCATGGTGTCCCGGGAGCCACGTTCATCAAGAGGAAGTCTGAGGACTTTCTTCCAAGCAATAAAGGACAATATTGACCCCGAGAACTCTGTCCTTGTTGAGCCAGCCCCAAAGCCAGACCTGTGGTCCTTCTTCAGCTCTGTCAAACTCAGAACTACATTCTCTTTGTTCACTTTCCCCTCCGAAAAGTTGTAACTGATTCTCTGCTTTAATATTGGGAGATTAAGTCCAAAGGTCTGCCACATATTTGGAGAAGTGAAGAATATGTCCATGTAAAGCCTGAATTTCTCCCCAAAGTCTGGCTTTGGCTTATTTATGAACAGATATGTGTTCTACATAACATTCCAATACTACTAAGTTTTTGCTGAATTATTAGAAGACACTAGGGGTAAAGCAGTCCCCAAGTGGTAGCAAAAACAAGGCCTTTATGCCAAGAATCAAGCTTTAATACTGGCCCTACCACCAGTCCCTGAAGAAGGCCAGAGTTCACACAACTAACTTGGCATCACGACACCCATGATGCACTAGCACCTGCAGACAGCCACCCGGCCCAGCTTTCTACCCCTTGCTGTCCTTCTGAATCAACTTGGTTGGGACTATTTAAAAAGCAGCTTCTTGACTCTTACGCCATATCCCCTGTCCTGGAACAAGGGCCTCTGAGAAGGAAAGGCCTAGCAGGCCTATCTTGCACAAGTGTGCATTTGTGACTAGCTGGCCTGGTCGCGGCTGTGTGGCTGTCCAGAATGTGCACCTGCACCGTAGATGTGACTAAGGATGAGACGTAGAATCCAGCTCTAGCAAACAGAAAGATGTGGGAAAATGCTGGTGATCTAAACTGGCCTGTGCTAAGATTTCGTGGGTATAATTAGAAGGCTTCATGTAGGAGGCGATGTTTGGCTGTGCTCTGGAAGATGGACAGAATTCCCTCAGATGGAGAGGCCTGAGCCAGGAAGTGACTTCTAGCCTGCAGGGCATGGCCGCAGCTTGGACAGTTGCTTAGTCACTTATCTGCCTTCCACAGGACTGAGTTGTTTTTGCCCAGAAGATGCTATTGCTAATGATGGAATAATACATCATACATACTCACACGCTCACACTTACTTCAAAGGGTGTTAGAAAAAGAATATTAATGATTTTGTGGGGCCGGCAGGTGGCATGGTAGTTAAGGGCCCTGGACTCCCTCACGGCCGACTGTGGTTCAAGTCTGGACCTAGCGGCTTGCATTCTCACTCTCCCCCCGCCCCTGGTCGAATTTAAATAAATAAATAAACAAATACATAAATAAATAAAGTTAAATAAAATAATTATTTTTAAAAGGAAAAGAATATTAATGGTCTTATAAAACTGTCCTTGAACATTAAATGAAAATCAAACATACTCTAGAGGCCTTAATAAGGGTATTGTAAAAATCAGAAACAACAAAATTTTGAATATATTCTTTTCTCAGTCTGGGGTTCACACATGATTTGCTTGTTTTCTTGCTTTCCCTTTTTTTTTTTTTTTTGGTAGAAGTTTTTGCCTTAGGGCACATGTACCCACTAAAGAGAGACAGAGACAATGAGAGGGAAAGTGAGAAATTTGCCCCCAGGAAGGATGGCCATGCCACAATCCTTTCTCCTCCATTCCCTTCCTGGGATCTGGGGCATGCATGTGCACATACCCAGTATGAGTTTCAAGTTACTAGGTCCAGGACTTGAACTGTGGTTGGCCATGTGGGAGTGCAGCAACGTACCACTATAGTATCTGCTGGCCCTGCTTGCTGTTTTTTGTCTATGGTTCGTTCCTTCAGCGGAAATCTGGTTTTTTTGGGTGTTTTTTGGTTTTTTTTAGTTTGAATTTTTTTTTTTATTACAAGATCTATCAAAGATAAGGTGGATCAGTTTCTGAAAGCTCTTTCTTTAGGAAGTTCTGTGCTTCTACGTCCACGTTGCTAGGTTTCAAGGCCAGCTCTGCTGTCCTCTGCATTGTCTTTATGAAGTGTTCCTTCGCTCTGAGAGTCTTCTTCGTTTAGAAGAGGTGAAGCTTGGACCGGGGAGGTCAGTTTAGGGGTAAAAAATGCAGAAGTCTTTTTACAACTCAAATGCTATACTTGTCTTTCAGGTCTTCCAATGTCTCATCATTGAGGGAGAGAATTCTGGAGAAGACGCTCTACGAGAAGCAGAAAGATTTGTCATCAGCGATGCAGAATTTGAAGGGTTCTTAGCACGCCACAGAGGAGTCCCCTGCTTGGTGCCCGAATCTAACCAGAAGGTTGTATAACACCCAATGTTTCCTATACCACGCATGCAGATGGGTCTCAGAGGTGGGACGCCCCCACATTGCTGTTTAGAGGGTTCAGTGTGGAGGAAAGGGAGGAGCAGAGCCTCGGAGCCAGAAGGTGTTGGGGTCTCCTCCAGCTGGGGTCTCTGATGAGCTTCAGTTTCCCTGTCCACACTGGCACGCAGCTGCCCTGCAGAGCTGGGCTGGGGTGATGCAATGGTTATGCAGTTGAGCATATGGTTACGTGTACAGTGTCAGCACTAGAGTGATGTGCGTAGAATCTTACATGTGTCATCTGCATATGGTTTAGTGCCTACACATTGAAGGAATACATGAATATATTCTACTGACATCCACAACATCACATGATTGACTTCAATGATCTCTATGGATATTTTGTTTTTAATTTGCCAAAGGGTGTGTGTGCTCACTACAGAGAGACAGAGAAAGAGGGAAAGCAAGAGAGCACTCCCAAGGGCACATGGCCACGCTCAGTCCCTTCTCCTGCATTTCTCCCTCCTTCAGGGTTCTGGGCGCCCATGCACGGTGTGTTTCTCAAGCCACCAGGACAGGACCTGGAGTGTGCAGTCAGTTACGTGGGGTCCAGCCACCTTAATTAGCAGGCAGTGGACTGGACCCACTATGGATAATTTTCAAATTTACAGGGGCCAGCAGGTGGCACCATGGTTAAAACTTGCATAGAATGTAGAAGAAATGTCTCACAAGTGCTTTAGTTTTCTAATGGAATGACAACTGGATACATTCAATTAGCACAGATTTTGTGCATAGCTTAACCAGTGCTGACCGACGCATGCCCGCACCACGGGACTTCCAGGAACAAGCAGAGGAAGAGTAATTAATCAAATGTTTACAGATACTAATACCAACAAATCTCTGATTCTCCCTGCTGTATGTACTAATTTCCTTATTAATGAAAGATACACATTTTTAAAATTATGAATAGCATATTTGAATGTATAAAAACTTGAAAAATACATCCTACACATCACAAAATCTAGACGTGAAACACACTGGCACTATATACTGAACGAAATAAAATAATGACAGACAGAAAGTTCTTTGCATCAGTCAGAATCTAGTGACACCAAAAAAGCAAACCAAGAAGTCAATTTACAGCAAATAAAAACTACTAAATAAACATTATAAGGGTGTTTGTTGTTATCAATGCCAAAGAGATACAGGTTGAAATATCAGAAATGAGGGACCAGTAGATGGTGTAACGGTTATGCCCCTGGACTCCCACATAGCCGACCATGGTTCGAGTCCCAGACCTGGTGGCTTAGAACTCACACCAGGTGCTTGTGCATGCGTGGCCAAAATCCCAAGAGGAGAATGGGGAAGGGATTGTAGCATAGCTATTCACGGATGATATTAGAGTAATATTGAATTCCTCAGCAGGCAGTGTGGTGGTTAAGGCACTGGATTCACACACGGCTAACGGCAGTTCAAGCCCCAGACCTGGAGGCTTGAAAATCACATCAGGCATGTGTGCTTGAACGCCCCAAAATCCCGAGAGGAGAGTGGAAGAGAAGGCATTATTGTGGGATGACCATCCCCACGGGGATGATTTCTCACTTACACTTTCTCTCTCTCTCTCTGTCTCTCTCTGGCGAGTACACTCAGCCTATGACAAAACCTTTTTTAAAATATCTTCCAGTAAAGCCTCCCTTTTAGCTCTCAATTAATAGCACTTAAAAAATCTCATTTTATAAATTGAATAAGGGGGAGATTAGATGTGTGTGGACACATCACTGGGGATATGGAGTGACAAAAAACTGTCTCACAGCTTGAGAGATTTTATTGACTAGTAAGCAAAAAAAAAGAGACAGAGAGAGAGGGAGAGAGCCAGCACCCCAGTGGGGCAGTGCCACACCACAGTCCCCTATTCTCCATGTCTCCTTCCCATCAGGATTTGGGGCATGCACGCACACTGCCAGGCGTGTTTTTCCAGGCGCTGTGGCCTGATGTGAACTGTGGTTGATCATGTGGGACCTGGCTCCCAAGATCCAGCCCTAAAAACTGTGTTATGGGGCTGGCCCTGCTAGAACCTGGAGAGACACAGACAGGCCCATACCTCATCAGGGACATGAAAGGCACTCAGGAGCCGGGCGAGATGTTGGGTCCAGATAACAGAACACCAGCCTGCGAGCACTGTAAGGTACTTGAGCACGTGCTGGGAACTAGCTTGAAACTGAATTTGTGCTTAATTTCTCCTTTACAGATGAAAGACTCCTACCTTATTCTGGACGAATATGTGAGTATTTCTAGAGTTATACAATGATCGCAGCCAAGCCAGAGTTGTCACAGTGGGCAACCACTGAGTACATCTTTGCCCTGCTTACCTGCCTTTCAGAGTCCCATAGTGAGGACTGCTGGATCACCGACCCTTGCTCCGCAGTATCACACTTTGCACCCAACACTTTGGCCAGGGAAGCTGACCATGGGCCCTCACAGTTGCACTGGCCCCGGGTGGTGTTGTGTCCCGTGTGGCCGTGCACCGTGCGTGCCACGTGGAAGTAGTGCCCAGCATGGAGGCCTGGCTGTGCATTCTTGGCCTGAAGTGCTCTGCATCAGGCAGGCACCCGGCTTGCTTTGGTAGGAGTGCATGTTCATACCGTGTTATCCTGAATAATCCAAGTTTGGGTGAGAAACGGTTTGGGCGAGGAACGGTCAGCTTACTGTTCTCCCCAGACACCCCCTGATGTCACCCCGGTAAGGGTGAGCCAGGTCCACATGACTGACCAAAGTTCTAGTCCTGACCACAGTGGCTTGGAAAATGCTCTGGGCGTGTGTGTGTGTGCGCGCGCGCACCCAAGATCTTGACAAGATGGAGAAATAGAAGACAAGGGATTGCAGTGCAGCCACACCACACTGGAGAGAGCTTTCTTCTGCTCTCTCTCTCTCTCTCTCTCTCATGTGTGCTTGCCACGTGCACACCCTCTGGCAATTAAAAAGGAAAGGAAAGAAATGAGCTCTATCGATAGCCATGGGTTCAATATTTATCTCGATGTCTCCCATGTGACTGAGACATTTATCTTGGATTTTTTTTTTTTGACAAAAACTTAAGTGGCTTTTGGCATTTCATTATTCTCAAGTTCAGCAATGACACTTTACAACTGTTTGATTTCTGGACAACGTGAATTTTCTTTCTAGAGTAAGGGAAAAGGTGATAAGGAAAATGTTCATCTTATGGGTCCAAGGCAGAGAAGAAAATTCATACAGTTTATTTCTGAAGTGCAAATGATCGTAATTGGCTGGGAATTTTGACCTATATATTTCAACAAACCAGCCGGCCTCCACATAACTGGAACAAACATATTTGACCCAAACTTTGCATTTGCTGATTTCGTTACATTTAGCATCGAGTATTACTTAAGCTCCTGTGCAGCGCCCAGTGTGGTCCTTAGGAGTGTGGGATAAACACGCAGGCACCTGCCTGCCTGCCTCCCGAGGTCTTCTCTGGTCAGCCTCTCTCTTTCTTGAATCCTTCTTACGCATTCTTGCAGGTGGGTTCACGCTGGCAATACCCTTCCCCTGCAGTTCGCTGGATGCACGTCACTGTTTCACACCTCTGTGCTTTTGTAACACCTTGCCTTCCAGTTTCTCTGTAATAGTTCAGATGTTGACCCTCAGGGGAGATGTTCTTGCTGGCTGTCATGTCCTCTGGAGGAACACGTGCCCCATGTAGGGTGTGTGTGACCCTGTGCCCTCAGTTGATCTGATGTGTTCATGTCAACTGTTCCCCGTAGAAAGTGAGTTCTTGGACTAGGGAGACGGAGTCCCCAGGTGGACAGTACCTGACCACAGTTCTCAGGAAGCATTCGTTGGCAGGATTAGAAAATCAGGAGTTGGGTCAGTTAAACTGAAGGTGACGTGAATTTCGTGGCGATGTACCGATTTCTGCCCTGTGCTTCCTAGATGCGCTTTCTGAACTGTCAGAATGGGCGGAAGGACCCTTCCAGGTCCATCCTGGATGTCGGAGTGGAAGAAGCTATCAAGTTCAGCGGCTTTGACGAAAAGATGTTTCTAAAGCGGGGAGGGAAGTACGTGTGGAGCAAGGCGGACCTGAAGCTGGACTGGTAAAGCGAGATAAGGAACAAGACTCGTGCCCCCGCGAAAGGCTCCCAGTGGCAGTCAGCGGCCGGTGCTGCAGGATCAGAATTCCAACAGCTGGAAGCCCGCCTTCCCACATCCGGTCTATGGTGGCCACTGAGCACTTCAACAACTAGAGACCCATCAATAATACAGACCCGCTAGCTTAATTAACTGGCTTATTACCTTACCATTATTTAAAAAAGGCACTAAAAGAGGAAAATCACAGAGAAACAACCACCATAGCAGCCAGCTATGTGCTAGACCTAAAGTCCAGTTCAAAGATGTGTTTGTAAGAAATACTCTCGTATGATATCTCTGGGAGAAAACTTTAATCTAGATTTGATTCTTTTGAGCCAGGTTAACTGTGACTCTTTTATTTCAGTTTTGCAGCTATTTTCTCCCTTTTATTATTATTATTTTAT